CCAGGCTGGAAAGGATTCTCAAAGCTGCACTGGTGCCAATCAGCTGAACATCATGACTCCACATGATACAAATTTAAATAGATACTGAAGGGCAGACAGTGAAAAGTGAGCCTCCCTCCTACTCCTTCTCCCAGCTTCCCCACTCACCTCTTCCAAGGCCATTACTTTTACCACAAAATGAGCTTTGAAGATTTTATAATAAGACAAAACTAGGCTTTATCAAAAGAGAAATTAATTTTCTGAATGTATTTGTTTCCCCCTCTAGTATGTTAATTACCTGGCCTAGTAGACTTGACTGAAGAGCTTTACATACGGGAGAACCCCAGTCAGCCCATCAGCCATAAATGGCAAGGAGAAAGATCCTTTCCTTCCAGTCCATGGGATTGTGAAATACAATTCATATTTTTTGGCAAGAGAAAAAGTTAAACATAAAAAAATTTTCTCTGCCCTTTGGCCTCCCCTTTCCTACCACTGTGCATTGTGTATTTGCATCATGCATCAACAAAAGCTCCCCCATTAGCAGGAAACACCTGTTCAGCCATAAAAAGCAACATTCTCCGAGTATCATCAAGACAACTCCTTAAAAGATAACATTCCTCCTTGATCTTGTAAGGGCTCACATGACCCACCACGAGGATGCTTAGATCTGTGTTATGTAAACTGCCAATATCACATCATTTGCTGTACTGTCCTCTGTCTCGGAAAACCTATATAACTGTGCCGTAATTTCCAACAGGTGGGACAGTTCTCAGAGCTTTATTTTATTTACTAATCTGTTTATTTTTATTGAGGTATAATTGCTTTACAATGTCACATTAGTTTCTGCTGTACAACAAAGTGAATCAGCTATATGCAGATGTGTTTCCCCTCCCTCTCCCACCTCCCTCCGGGCCCTCCATCCCACCCTCTAAGTGATCACCAAGCACCGAGCTGAGCTCCCCATGTGATATGGCAAGTTCCCCTAGCTATCTATTCTACACCAGGGAGTGTACTCTCTGGGTTTCCCTGGTGGCTCAGACAGTAAAGAATCCACCTGCATTGCAGGAGGCCTGGGTTTGATCCCTGGGTTGAGAAGATTACCCTGAAATAGGGCATGGCAACCCACTCTATTATTCTTGCCTGGAGAATCCCCATGGACAGAGGAACCTGGTGGGCTGCAGTCCATGGGGTCGCAAAGAATCAGACATGACTGAGTGACTCACCACAGCACAGCACAGTGTATTTGTGTGGGTGCCCAGTTGCTCAGTCATGTCTGATTCTTTGCGATGCTATAGACTGTAGCCCACCAGGCTCCTCTGTCCATGGAATTTTCCTGGCAAGAATACTGGAGTGGGTTTCCATTTCCTCTTCCAGGGGATCTTCTGGACCTAGGATCCAACCCGTATCTACTGCATTGGCAGGTGGATTCTTTACCACTGAGCCACCTGGGAAGCCCATGGTAGTGCATTTAAGTCAAATCTAATCTCCCAATTCATCTCACCCTCCTTCTACCTCCCCTACCATGTCCACACATTGGTTCTCTGCGTCTGCAGCTTGATTCCTGCCCTGAAACGATGTTCATCATTACCAGTTTTCTAGATTCCACATACATGAATTAATATATGAAATTTGTTTTTCTGACTTACTTCACTGTGTGTGACAGACTCCAGGTCCATCCACATCTCTACAAATGACCCAATTTTCGTTCCTTGCTTATGGCTGAGTAATATTCAATTCTATATCTCAGAGCTTTCTGAGAAGCTGTTCCCAGGTTATAATTCTCAAATTTAGCTTGAATAAAAATTTCCATTTCTTTCTTAGATTGATTGATTTTCACTGACAGAATTATAGTTGAAAAAGAGAAGAAAGATGTGTTAGATAGGTTGAGAGGAGAGCTGAGGGCTGGGGAGCTGAAAGCACATTGCCTCATAGGCTGTGCTGAACCAACCTATGGGTCAGCACTTCAGGCAAATCCAATGACATACAATGAGTCTTCCTCCCAGAGACAGGGAAGGGACCCCAGAGATGTGTTGGAGTACAGTTGTCTTGAGAAGATGAGAGACCTGCTGCATTGAGGATCAAGAAACCAGAAGATGACAGTGGCAGAGATCTAGAAGTTTCTACAGTATTGGTGAAATGGAATCAACCAGGGCACAGGGCAAGGCTGTGACCCAGCTAGGACAGGCCAGAGTAGCCCTCACCAGCAGGTTACCAGCAACAGAATGCCCAAGACTTGCATCTCAGAGAACAGTCAAAATTATCCTCTCTGTAGAAAAGTCCAGCAAGAATTTAAGGAGACTTTGTAGATCGTAGGACCAAGATCCCAGAATAGTGTCTCAAGTTCATGTCAGCTACCCTTTGTCTTTCTTTTTATCCTCCCATGTGTCATTTTGAGGATAGTCGACTGAGAGAGATGGACTATTAAGAGATTGAGTGTTTTAACATAAATTTAGAGGAAATATTTAAATTATTTCAACTAAGTTTGTAAATTGGTCTAACATTTAGAGTTTTTCCCCTACTGTTCCCCAAACCTGAGGACATTTTATTTACACAGCTGAATGGATCTTGAGTAAATCTGTGACACTGCCATAAAAATATCAAGTAGCGTTTCATATAAAAAGCTGCCAAGACAGAAGGTTATGTCTTTTGGCATTTATGGTTTGTTTTTCTAAGCTTAACTCTCAGAAGGTGACTATATTTTCCTTATAGCCAAACTTTTGATGGATTTCCACATATGGCCAACTATACACATACATGTAAGTCAAATGATTTACCTGAGTCATAGACTATATGAAAACTAAAACAAATGTGTTTGGATTAGTGCATTGAGGAAGGTTGCCATTACTGAGAAAGAATGAAATAAAATTAAAAGTCACAAAATTAATGTTCTAATTAACAATTCTCAATGAGTAAAGGGAAACATTCTAAGTAGAAAATGCATTTTACTTCCTAAAGTGATTTTGATTCTAAAGTGATCAAAATAAGTAAAATATGATTGTGAATATGGTGTCAAAAATGTGAAATTTGGAACCCAAGAACCACTTTATGAGAGAATTTAAAAAGCACTTGGCAACTATTGCTATTAGGTATCCCTCCCATCAGGTGCTTTTCCTCCTCTGAAAAAATCTGAAGTTAAAATTAGCCTGTATGCTCCCACCTCTACTGTTTTTGCTAAGGATGAAAGGAAGAAAATAATGCCAAACACTGTAGATTGGTGGTGGAGGGAATTCGATGTTTACTGGACAAATAATTCAGTATTATTCTAGGAATTGTTTAAAGAGGTATATTAAGACCCATTTCAAGTCCGTACAAATCCAATCATTCATCTTCTGCATCATAGTCACCGTTAATGAAAAATTTAATATTGGTATTTTGGCAAATATAATTTTTTTGTTCTATCATTTTGATAGACAACCAAGAGTATAAATGAATTGAGAGCAAAGTTCATGATACCTATAACTTCCCTAGTGGTCCAGTGGCTAAGACTGAACCACCTGGACTCATTGCGAGGAGGCGAAGTTTGATCCCTGATCAGTGTGTTGCCATGCCTTCCTCTAGGGGATCTTCCCGACCCAGGGATCCAATGCATGTCTCTTATGTCTCCTGCACTGGGAGGTGGGTTCTTTACCACTAGCACCATCTGGGAAGCCCCAGGGAACTAGATCCCACATGCTGCAACTAAAGATCCCCCATGCCCAGATGATACCACTCTAATGGCAGAAAGTGAAGAAGAACTAAAGAACCTCTTGATAACCATGCCGACAAAGGTCCATATAGTCATGGCTATGGTCTTCCAGAAGTCATTTATGGTTGTGAGAGCTGGACCGTAAAGAAGGCAGAGCACTGAGAATTGATGGTTTCAAACTGTGGTGCTGGAGAAGATTCTTGAGAGCTCCTTGGACAGCAAGGAGATCAAACCAGTCAACCCTGAATATTCACTGGAAGGACTCATGCTGAAACTGAAGCTCCAATACCTTGGTCATCTGATGCAAACACCTGATTCATTGGAAAAGACCCTGATGCTGGGAAAGACTGAAGGTGTCAGAGGATGAGATGGCTAGATGGTGTCATCAATGCAATCGACATGAACTTGGGCAAATTACAGGAGATGGTGAGGCACAGGGATGCCTGACTTGCTGCGTGCAGTCCATGGGGCTACCAAGAGTTGGACACAACTGGGCGACTGAACAACAACATGCCCAGATGAAGATCCAAGACCTCAAGCGCCACAACTGAGGCCCAGGACAAATAAATATTTTTAAAAAGTTCATGACACCTGCATGACATTTAACACAGTGCCAAGAACAAGGTAGACAATAAATGACAGAATTGAATTAACTAAGCCTTTCAATAGCTCCTAGTTGATTCATTTAGTCCCTAGTGGAAAGCTTTAACAAAACACGGTAATGAAACTTATTCTTTCCTCAAGTGAATTGAGAATGCTTTATGATGTTCTAGATTTCTTTAGCTCTGTTCATGTAATTGTGACTTCATCTTATACACTTATTATTTGTGTGGATATATCTGGGAATTAAGGGCTCATTAAAAAAACATTTAGTCGATTACGGTAAAATGCCTAGATCCATGCTTCTACCTCATTTTTCTTCGAAGCTATCAAACAACAAAACAATGGTGTGGGAGAAAACCGTATTTGTGACTGTAACTCACTGTGTTAAGGTCTAAATATGAGGTCTAAAGCCTCTCAAGGAGGCTTATCTTTTTCTTCTCCAAAGGATTAAAATCCCATAACGGATTATTATAGAACACATCTTAGCAAGATCAAAACATTCTGACAAGGACCAAATCTAACACTATTAGGCAAGGCTTTTTTTTTTTTTTTCATGGAAAAATTCTTGAAAACACCAGTGTATTTGATAAGAGTTCTGAGAGATGGGATCCTTGCTGGAGGGAGGCTGGGGGGTACGGGTGAGCACCCAGTGAGCACCAGCACCTGGTGATGTCACAAGCTGCTGCGGGCTACAAGCCCCGGTTGCTATGGAGGCCGCGTTCCCGCCTCTCCTCCACCCCAGGCTCGCGGCCCGCTCGGGCAGAGCCATGACCCAGGACAGCAGCTCGAGAGGGCGGCCGGATCCCGGTGCACCATGACCCTCGGGCCCGGCCCCGTTTCGGGCCGATGTGCACCACGTATTCCGCCTGCCTCTCTCCTCCCGGCCTCGGCTGCGAAGGCGGCAACGGCTGGACAAGAGGCCCGATTAAGGCGCCGGGCTTCTCTACGAACACTCGCCGCGGAAGCGGGTTCACCAGCCTCCGCTCTCTGGGGCTCCTAAGTGAGAGTGTACCCAAGCTGAGAGCGGGGGGCGGGGCGTGAGGCGGGGACGGGGCGGGGTTGAGAGGGGAGCCGCGGTACTGGGTAGATTGCCGCCCAGAGACCTACGGCCGCACGGGTGGGAGAAAAGAGCCGGGGGAAAGGGAGGCTAGAAGCGCAGCAGAGGGCTGAGAGCGGGGTCGCGGAGCCCTGCAGAGCCAGGTACGCGAGAGGCCCTGGGCGGGGGAAGGGCTAGGAACGCCCTTCCCAGGTGAGAGGGGAGGCTCCCGGCTCGAGCGGAAGCGGCAGTGAAGCCAATCGCCGGGCTCTCGGCCGCCTCCTCCCGCTAGGCGCCGCCTTCCCGTCCTGCCCCTGTGGGAGCAGCGCCCCAGGGCACGACCCTCGCCCGGCGCGTGCGGCCGTTGCGTCTCCGCTTTCGGCCCCGCCCCTCCCGGGCCCCGCCCCCGGGCCCCGCCTGCTTCCTGGCGCGAGCGGCTTCCTGACGCGATTCCCCGCCCCCTTCGGGTTCGCTCAGGGAGTCAGGCCCCTGGCCGCCACCGTCACCTCGGCCGCTGCCGCCGCCATCGCCTTCATCCTTCGTCCCCCACCATGGCCGAGGAGCTCTCTGCGGCCACGTCCTACACCGAAGATGATTTCTACTGCCCTGTCTGTCAGGAGGTGCTCAAAACGCCCGTGCGGACTGCCACCTGTCAGCACGTTTTCTGTAGAAAGTGTTTCCTGACTGCAATGAGAGAAAGTGGAATACATTGTCCCCTCTGTCGTGGAAGTGTGANAACAACGATGGAAATGAGAAAGACCGCCCTTGTGAGGAATGAACTGAAATGAAGGCCGTAACCGTAGGGAGGGTGGTGGAGCACAGTAAGGGCTTGGTTGGTTGAGGTGGCCTGGAGCTGTTCGATTTGGCGTATTTAAAGGGAGCACTTCTATAATTATTAGAGGCTACTAGGATGTCAGTAAGATTTAGAAGGAGCCCTTCTTGTAAAGGTAGATAGCACTTCTGACAAACCTGACTGCTGATCGGGGTCTCTGGAGGAACTTTTTAAGTAAACATACCAATTCCCAGGCTCCATTCCAAACTTAGAAAGAATTTCTGGCAGGTGAGGCTTGGAAATCTCGTTTTGAAAAAAAATACACCCAGTCTTGAAAGTTCTGTGTGCTTGCAAATAGCTGAAAGGAATCGAACCATTTTCTAAACCGATTTCTCTTTCCGCTGGGTTCTGTAATTTTGTATTGAATGGGTTGTTGAATTTAGGGTTAGTCTCAAATTTCCTTACAGCTGTTTCTTGACACCCACTTTTCTCACTCCATTCCCAGTCTGTTGTCTACCTTACTTCTCTTCCGTAGTGTTGTATCAGCCCAAGAATATGTGACTTTTCTTGATAGAAGTTACACCAGTTATAGTTTTGCCGCTTATAGGAGATGAATGACAGTCTTTATTCCTTTATTATTTGGTGCAACAAATGCAGGTAGTTAAAATATCTTGAGATGTTTAGGGCACAGTGTATACCTTTTGGCTTTTAATCTATAAGTGTTTATTTTAACTTGATTCCTTTTCTGCCCTTGGGCTAGCAGTGGATAGAAGAAAGGGAGGGAAGGAGGGCAAAGTACGGAAGTAGGTCTTTTTTGGACAGAATCATTTCTAGTACCCATTGGGTCATTGACCTCATGGAGCTCATGGTAATCTCTAGTTCCCCTCAAAATTCCATGCAGTTTGCTCTGGTTCACTTCCCTTGTGAGACATTTTGTTAAATCAGACTGTAGTTTGGCTTGACCTCAAGGCTGTGGAAATGAGTTTGGAGATGATTTGTTGAGGGTTTTTCTCAAATCATCTTCTTTGGGCTGGAATGTGGAAATAAAATAGGGACTAGATTTTGGTAAGAGGAATGGACACATTCTACTCACTCTTCTCCATCCCCTCCTTTACCCACACTGTCCTTCATCAAACACATACAGTTGCTCTAAGGTTCTGACTAAACAATAAATTAAGGTGGAAGGAGAAAACATTTTCTTTTTAAAGGGTGATAATGGTAGAACAGGGTATTATTAGAAGGAGTTCAGTGGGGAAATAAAATTCTATTGTAAATAACCTAGTTTAGAATGTCATTTGCTCTACCCCTTTCACAGAGAACAAACCTGGGCCTCAAACAAATTTATATTTAGCTACAAAAGGAATTTTTTGTTCATGGGTGGTGAGAGATGAGGTGATGAGAGCTTTGGCCCCTATGCCATTTCAACGGCAGTGAAGGATTTGACCATTCTGGTAAAATTCATTGTCCCTGGAATAACTTTACCAAAAAAATAGATTCCCATTTAGTCCTCATTCATCCCTGGTGGCTCAGATGGTAAAGAATCTGCCTGGAATGCAGCAGACCAGGGTTCAAACCCAGGGTCAGAGAGATCCCCTGGAGAAGGGAATGGCTACCCATTCCAATATTCTTGGCTGGAGAATTTCATGAATAGTCAGGAGCCTGGCGAGCTACAGTCCAATGGGGTCTCAAAAGAGTCAAACACGACAGTGACTAATGCAAGAGTAACATTCCTTCAAACAGCTATTGTTGGATGCCTTCTGGGTGTCAGGTACAGAGAATATGAAGTGGTCTTTTTCTGGAGAATGTTAACAGTTTAATGGAGAAGATCTGTATCTGAATGTGATTGGTATGGAATAAATTGAGGAGGAAAATTTATGTGAGCTTTGAAAGCAGGTATCTAAATTAACCTATGAGTAGAGGAGAGAGTTCCTGGATGAAGTAATAGCTTAGGTCAAAATTGGTATTCAGGATTTGTTGGGGAATACCCTGATTAGGTGTACAGCATGGGGAGGGGTTACCAGGATGACTGTTCCCAGGTTACAAAGTTTGGCTGGAGCTAAAGATGGGAGTAGTGAGATGGAGCTTAGGGATGTTGGCAGGAATTTACTGTGTAAGCCAATTTGAACTTCTTGCTGAAAGCCATAAAGATCTACTGAATAATTTTGTCAGGGGAGCAACATGGTCACATTTAAATTTTAGAGTACTTATAGTTACTAGCCTGGTCTAGCTTGGTACTGGTGAGATTCGTGAAGAGATCATTCATTGCTCTGTCAGAGAGAGAAATGATTAGAACTTGAACCAAGGTAACAGTAGAGGGACTGGAGAGAGAAGGTTCCTGACATTTTAAGGAGATTGTGTAAGATTTGATGATTGTCCAATAGTTACAGTATATGTACAAAGATCTGGAATACATGGAACTAAAGCTGTGAGTATGGATGTAGCCACTGGGGGAGGTATATAAATTGAAAGATAGCAGGGATTGAGATGGAACAAAGTTCTGGAGAACATATATTTAACTGTGGAGTGGAGGAAAGTGCAGCCTGAGAAGGATTCGACCCAATAGGGAGAAAACCAGGATAGAGTGTGACAAGCAACCAAGAAGAATTTTAAGGAAAAGGTAGTCAGGAGTGTCAGATGCCTTAGAGTGGTCAGATGTTTTGAAAAACATGTAAAGATGAATTAACAATATTAAAGTTGAGCAGGTATGTTTCAGAAGGTACAGACTGATGTACCTTCTGTGAAAGTATTTGTGGTGAAGTATAAATGGTGAAGTATTTATCTCTCTTGCTTTTATCCTTTGTAATCTTCAAAGGCTCTTTGAAGCAAACCTCCCTTTTTTTCCCCATTCATTCAAAAAATCTTTATTGAATACTTACTGTGTACCAGGCAGAAACAAAACAAAATTTTTCTCTTTGCTGAACTTACTTTCTAGTTGGGGAGGTAGGCAATAGACAACATGACAAATAAGCAAGTCATACAGTGTGTTAGAAAGTATTAAGTTCCATAAGCAGGGCCTTACAGAACATTGTAAGAACTTTGGCTTTTACTCTGATTTTTTTTTTTTTTAGTGTTGAAATTCAGATGTTTTTTGTTTCTTATTGGGGTATAATAGCCTTACAATGTTGTGCTAATTTTTGCTCTACAACAAAGGGAAAGCAACTATATGTATACATATGTCCTCTCCCTCTTGGAACCTGCCCCCCACTGTTTCCACACACACCTATCCCACCCATCTAGGTCACCACAGAGCACCAAGCTGAGCTCCCTGCGCTGTACAGTAGTGAACCAAACCTTTGTCTATTTTGAATGGTTAAGGAAATAACTCTGTATGCTGTTAGATCTAAGCTCTATCACAGTGAAAAATGACATACAATGACAAGTTAATGCCTGCCAGACTCTTTTTTTTTTTTTTGCCAGACTCTTAAAAATGGAAGTCTGATCCATTTGCTTTGGGGCATATATATAAGGAAGCATCTTTTATTTATTTTTGTGGCACCAGGCTGCATGCAGGACCTTAGTTCCCTGGCCAAGAATCCAACCTGTGCTCCCTTAAATTGGGAGCATAGAGTCTTAACCACTGGATGACCAGGGAAGTCCCAGGAAGCATCTTTTAAAATGAGCTGATATAGATCAGCTTCCACTTCTCATTAAGGACAGATTTGTATGATTTTTGTGTGTGTGTTTATGATTCTTTGTTGACCTGCTTTGGATTATCCAGTCCCTGAATTTTCACTTACTGTTTCTTATAATTGGAGCAACTTTATAGGTATCCTGTTTGGGCATTCATGCTCTAAATGCGTATTTTTAAAATTTCTTCTTTTCTACATACTAATTATAATTCTGAAAGCCAGGCTTGTGTGGTTTCTTGCTGATTTAATAAATGCTGCTCTATTCTTAAAGTTTTTAAGACTTTATCTAAATGTTTTTGAAAAATATTTATAAAGTGGTATAATTTAAAAAAACTATGCTATTTGATTATATAACATAAAATTGATTTGATTTATTCTTAAAGACTAACTTGAAATATCTTGATTTTTTAAAAAGTTTTAAGTTATTTTGGGAAATGATTTTGATTATACACTAGGAAGATAAAAGATATACAATTTTAAATTAATAGTGAAGCAGGAGCTTGATGGATGGGAAAGTTGCTTTTCTCTCCCAGTGTCTGATCAACCTGTTGTTTGGAGAATGGATAAGGAAAATTCATCTGGCATTTGCTTAAAGTTAGGAGAAATTTAAAGATAATCTTTTAAATTGTTTTACTATCCTAAAAATGCGGGCTCCTTTGATATATCAAAATAGTTCTAGTAATCTTGACTTGCACCTTTTTTCCATTTCCCTTGTAGTTTGTTTTGAAATAAACTTTGCCTAGCAAATTCAGATAGTCTAGTGAAAGAGAGATGAGGAATAAGCAGTTTTGTATCTGAAGAAAATGTGCTTGATGGTACAGAGGCAGAAACAGAATGGAGATAAAAGGCCTGAATAACTTTCTTTGTGTACCACTTATCAAAGTTTATAATCATAATATTTTTGGAATCAGTTGATTTGATGGATGCCATTCTCTTCAGTTAGACTGTAAGCTCTTAAAAGGCAGCAACCCAGGTCTACTTTTACTATCTGAGCCTAGTATATGCATTTGGTACTGAATAATTGTATGAATGGGTTTGTGTTAGGAACTCAGTTTACTAGCTGTATCACTTGGGCAAGCCATTTATCTCCTTTTAGCCTGTTTTCTTCTCCATAAAACAGGGGTAGAAGCAGCCTGTTTCTCAGTGTTATTGCAAGGACCAAATGAGGTAATGTTTGTGAATGATAGTAATAATCTTGTATGTGTATTTTATAGTTTTCAAAACCCACCAAAATATAAAAATATTTTTAATTTAGTACTTATAGCATCTAAC